GTGGAGGAGAAGGTTTTGATGCCAATGAATTATTATCTCAGATGGCCGAGAATGTTCCAAAATCACTTGAAACTATTGAAATTCGAATGGATTATGATAATCCATGGATATTTAGTGCTGATAGTTTAAGAAAATTTTTTGAAGGGTGGTGTAAAGGAAGAGGAGGAAATAAAAAATTTAGGGTATTACGTTTAGAACCTATGGAACAACAGATGGAACAAACATCACGATTGTTATCATTTATCTCGAAAATGATGGGCAATGAACATTTTGATGTTATTGAAGAATATAGAATTCAATTTGATTTGGTAAAATAAAAATTTTCAATTTAAAATTCTTGTGTATATTATTGTTTTTTTTTATTTATTTTGAGTTATTTTATTTTTCAGAAGTACCACTTCATTCTCTTTAATGGTTTATTTGTTCAAAAGAAGATGACGTTACGATCATTATCAGAAATACACTCACTGGTAAAAAGTATGAAGACTCCCATCAATTTTTAAAAATAAATCATTTTAGTTACTCTATAAAACTATTTTTATTGTTTATTAAATATTAGGTAAACAGGTTACATTCTATAATTTTCTATTAAAATTGTCAGAATTATGGGCGCATTTAATATAATTTTTTAAATTTTTGTTAAATTAAAGAGAAATCGTCAATATTGATAAGGAAAAAGGTGGGAAAATTGCATAATTTCTTATTCAAAGTTCTAATAAAAATGACCTAATTTTTGCAGATTTTAAAATTGTCACGTCTCTGTACCAAATTTTTAATTTTTTAGAATAATTTTTTTATAAAGACACACTAAATTAAGTTTGGAAGTATATTTTGATTGAATCTAACTGATAATTTACTAAGAAAAAGTTTTAGGAGGGATTTGCTAAATTTTGCTAATTGAAAATGTTAATAGTCTTTTTATGGAACTTTGAGTATAATAATTTATATTAAAATACACTGGCAATATAATTACAATTCAAAAATTTATTTAAAAAAAAATCATACTTTTCTACTATATTATATAGATACACAAATTCCAGGTGTACTACAATTCATCAGTTGATTATAATTATTCATCCCATACATATTATTTTTTATCTTTCAATTTTATAATTAATTTATTTTTCATATAGGTTAGTAGTCTAAACCAAAGAAGTAAATAAAAATTATTCTCATAGCGAAAAGTCCTTCTACATTTTGCATTTAGTTTAGTCCAGTCCATTTTGTCCTTATCCTAAACTGTCCTAACCTCCTAAACCCTTTAATCTGGATCAATCTTTATTGAATTAACAATCAGAAGCAAAATAATAATAAGCTAGATGGATCCTTCAGAAGTGAAATTGCTACTCAAACAAAGTATGTTTAATGCTCAAAGTTGTGATTTCAAAAAGAAGACATAACTTTTCTATAACCTTGTAATGTTTATAATAAATTTTATTAATAAAGTATCTTTTATCACTGTTCTAAATTTACAATGATTGTTATTAAAAAAAGTTTTAAAAAAAGAAATCAATTCCATCAACAATTATTTTTGAAATGGATTTTAATACTTCAAATACTTCTACTACCTCTCCATATCACAATAATTGTGCGAGACATTTTTCATTAATAATACTTCAATTAAATTAATATTGTTCTCCAATTACTTAATCTATTTCTAATAGAATATAAAAAGAATTCTGGCACTCAGATTTCATGATGTTACAAATATTTTTGCTGTTACAAAATACGAAAAACCTATTTATACACTTGAGCTTAAATATAGAGTTAATGACAAATACCTTTGTTGGTCTATAATGATATCGAATTGGATAAATAATGACAAAAAAGAATTATTGATGCAAGAGGATTCCATAATTATATGTATAATATATGGTGACAATAAAAATGACAAAGAGTCTGGGAATAAATATCTTCATCCACAAACATGGGTTATTCACTACAGATAGAAATAAAATTTATACTTCTTCAATTGGCAGTGTTATATTATAAGATTTCTTGATAGTATGAGAGTTTGTTAATAAAACAATAACTATTGCATCACGAATTTATCAATAATATTGAATAGAGATTTTTTTCATAATCATCAAGAATTCTGGCACTTCACATCTTACTCAGATTTTGCTTTGGCTAAAGTGGTTTAGATTTATTTAAGATTCTTTGAAAATTGATAAATTTTTAACAAAAGCTTG